TTTTCTGGTGCCAAGATAGACCCAGTCATGGGTGGGGGATGTGCATGGCCGTGAGTTCCAGAAGTCTTGGACTTGTGTGGAAACCCTTGCATTGCAGTGGGACAGGTTTACAGGATAGGCAGTATTTAAAGGACAGAGTTTTAATATAATAATATGATAATGTGATACTGCAGGAGAAATGCAAGTCATGGCTTGAAGCAGTGATGGAACACCTGGTGGGAAGGCAGGACCAACCCAGGGGAGCTCAGGTGCATGCAGTGCAGCTGAGTGAACCGAAGGGGTGGAGCCAGGATTCACCCCTTCCCAGACCTCATTTAAGGGTTGGCAGTGGAGGTAAGGGCTTCTCCTAGGAGATCCCTGTATACCTCAGGCCTTCTGGAGGTAAGCAGCTTCTTTTCTTTATTTCTCTGCATGCTGCTGTTGTATTTGAGTAGATCCTCACTTGCTGTGTCCTAGGACCTTGCTGTTCTGCTGTTATTGCTGTGGTTTCCATTGTGTTACAGATAGACATCTTAGCTATCCAGTCCATTCGCCCTTTTCCTGTTTGACTTTTATTTAGCAGGGAAATGCATATATTGATAAACAACATCAGGCTGCATTTTTTTTTAATAGAAAAAGGTGATCAGAAAAATCATTCTGATCAAGATATGTAGTTGTATATTCAAGGAGAGACTCATCTGTGATATTCACTTTTCTAGACACCTAGACTAGGTTTAGTAGGCACTTAAAGAACAAGATAGTAGTAGCAACTAGGAATCTGGGAATTATCTCTGCCTGGAAAATGCAGTGATGGATTGTGCTTCCTGCTTTGCTCTTTATGCATGTTATTTGGAAGTAATTATCAGAGTGAATTTAATTAAATATCCTAAATGGTGACAGATGGAGTGGTTTTCATGACTAGTGCACTTATACAGGTTGTGTTTATGTGTTGTTTGTTGTTGTGTGGGTCTGTGGCCCACTGTGCTGCGAGTTATCTGCAACAACTGGGAGAAAAAAGAAAAATGCAATGTAAGCTTCAGCACATTGCTTGGAAGTATTTCATCAGCATCAGTAGGACTATAGCCTACAAAATTCTCTTAAGCCTAGGACTGAAAAGGCAGAAGGCTCAGCAGTTATTTTGGGGGAGGTTGAGGATGTTTACAGCTTCATCCTATTTCTCCTGAACCATTGATGGTACTTCCTACTTCAGTTAGGAGGGGACCCATAAGGATCATTGATTTTAGCTACTGGAAATGCATCTGCAGAGCTGACATCTAGAGGTCAGCATCTCTGGATGGGGAAGTTTCTCTCTGATCCTTGACATGACTGAAATCTAGACCAGATTGCCTGGAGATGGGGTGGATGTCCAATCCTTGGAGACATCCAAGGCCAGGCTGGACCGGGCTCTGAGCAACCTGATCTGGCTGTGGATGTCTCTGTTTATTGCAGGAGGGTTGGACTAGGTGGCCTTTAAATGTCCCTTCCAACTCTGAGGATCCTATGAAATAGTTGTTGGATTGTTTTGTTCGTTTTGGTTGTGTTTGTTTGTTAACTAACCAAGAGAGATGGCTGCTTTTACTTCATGTTTCACATCACTTCTCAACTTTTACTCAGGCTGTATCCCTCTGACCTGAAAGAGCCCTCTTCTGGAGAAATCTGGGTGGTTTGGAACAGATGCAGAGATATGACAGAGTTCACTTAGAACATAATCAACAGATAATAATAGGGTACTCAGAGAAATTGCAGTGAATGACAAGTATCATCAGCCTTTTCAAAACAGCAGAATCAGACATTTTTTGACTCCACATGCACAACAGTGTCAGGAGAAGCAGGAAATAGCTTATCTTTAATTCTTATGTTCTAGCTTTCAAAAAATGATATTGTAAAATTGCGAAGGGTGATGCATTGTCATAGGAGAATCACTGAGTGCTGTGTGTGTTCTCATTAGCAAACAGAGCAGGATTTTCTGTGCTGACCGTGAACATCATGGAAACCAGCACAAAATGATAAATGATTTTGTAAGAGGAATCTAGGTTGAAGGCACAGCACTATGAATGATCCTTGAGGTTTGCCTTAACATGTGAGAAATGCCTCCTGAGAGCAGTGAGCTGCTTTCCAGCCTAGTTACATATTGATTGGGAAGTATTTTATTATTTCATTCTTTACACATCCTGTATCTTGCTTAGATCCTTCTGTGTCTCGTGTGCACTTATAATTGGAGTAAAATAATTCTGAACAGAAAAAATCATGCATGGTGTCTGCAAGTGTACAAAATCAGAAGCAGCACTGGGCTTGCAGGGGATGTGAATAAAGCTTGTGATGGAGTGTTCCAGCTGGGAGCCTGCCATTTACAGTTGCTTCAGAAGCACTTTTCTAGTTGCTAAGTAAACTGCTTTCCTTAAAGGAAGCAGAAGAAGAAAAATAATGAGAGCTAATACATACTGGTTGTTCAGATGATGTGGAAATGGTGGTGAGAATTACCTGAAATATGCTGGCTAGGAGATAAGCTTGTGAACTTTGTAAACAGTGTACAAATAGGGAATGTTATTACAGTTTAGCAAAGTTCTCACTCTTGATTCCTTCAAACCTGCTGGGCTAATTAAGTGTCTCCATTACCTGGAGCACTTCTGTACTTCTCTCCCAGCCTGCACCCCTTTTCAGATCTGTATTTGCAGTCCTTCACAGCTCCTGCAGTTACTTTCAGGCTGAGGTTTGCTTTTGGGCTTCTGTTCTCCCGGTCTGTTTCAGTACAGAGAACATTTTGGCATGGTGGAGATTAAAGCACAGGATTGATTAGAGAGGAGAGCTATGAATCCTTACAGTACAATCTTTCTTTTACATCTGACACCAGTGCACACTGGTAACATTCACTCCACAAACCCTATCTCCACAAAATACATAAGTGCTCGATTTAAATGCAAATGTGCAGTCACTTTCTGCCTGACCTCAAAGACATTTTATATGTTAGTGTCCTAATTTGGCCTTTTTAAACAAGACTTGGTGTCCCTGTTTCTTCTATGAGGCATGCTCCTGCTCTACTGGAGATAAATACCTGCTTGTGGTTACGTTGTGTCCCTTCTAATGAAGGTTGGAAGCTCTTGCTGACTTCAATTTCTGAGCACCATAATTGAAACATGGTGGATGACTGCAGTGCTTGAGAAGGAAATGGGAAACCCAGCCTTCAACATTTGGAGCAAATAGCAGGATGTAATCCTACAAGTTCCTCCTCACAAGAAGGTCTTATCAGTAGAATGCATCCCTGGCTCTGCTCTCACAAACACCCATCAGAAATGGTATCTTTCACTTTCTGCAAGAGTCTCCCATCCTGGCCCTGAAGCACTTTTGAGCTGCGTGCAACTGATAATTTTGAGAGCTGTCTTGGGATAGACATCTTGCTTTCCTAAAGACCTCGGGCTGGGAAACCCAAAGCACAGACAGGAACCACACTTTCTACATCACTTCCTTAAGGGGTTAATGTGAATTCCAGCTCTCATGGAAAATCTTCATGCATGAAACTCCAAGCCTAGGAGGTGAACTGGATGCTGGTGATTTCCCAGTTATGCACACCTGTAAAGTGGATGCTTTGTCAACAAACAGTTGTACGTTTTAAAAGGCAATGCATTAATGTTGTGTTACCTGGACCTGACTTGGGAAACAGCAGACTTCAACCCATGTGACAGTAAAATAACCAAGGTGCCTCTGTGCGAGGGCATCAGATGAGCCTCAAAAGCCATAGCAAAATTATTAAACCATCTTATTTAAGAAAATATTCATTGTCAAGAGCAACTTGGCTCTGAAGGGCAAAACACCCCTACCACTTCCAGAGAAGTTTGACAACCTCTAAGTGTAACACCATCTTTCAATCAGTGCTGTACTGTCTAATTAACTAATGTTTGCACTGTTATTTGAGATCATTGAGATCATGGCTTTACAAGGAAGGCTAATATGTTGCTATGTTTAAATGTAAGAATTAATAATTTAGAAAATATGAGAGTGCGAAGTCAGGTTACTCTTATCATATCATCAAAGTCAGGTTTAACTACCTTCTTTTTTGGCTTCTTGCTTAATTAGTTAAGCTGCTGAATTTAATTAACTCATCAAACTTAATTTGAAAAGATCTCTCAAATCAGTAGGAGCTTATCTTATGCTTATTATTTCTATTTGGTTCATGAAATCTTTAATCCTAACATTTTGTTAGGATATTAATGGTAGCATTAATCGTGTTCTAATTTACTTCATTTACTCAGATGGTAGCATTTTCTTCATTTAAAGCACCAGCATGTGAAAATCAAGCACAGTTTAAGGCAGTGAAATGGCTCTTCTAGCCATCTCTCAAGTCAGCTACATACTATCTCTTTTTCCATAAATGTAAATTGGGTTTGCAAGGTGAAGTTATTTCATGGAAAATCATGTTGGGTCTCTGAAGTCCTACATCCTAGAGAAGTGTTATGAGGGAAATTATCCTCTGGATGCTCTTTTGGAACAGCTTAACCATGTTGCTAGGTAATATATTTGAAACTAAAACTGGTATTACAACTATCTAATTCATTTGAGCACATCTGGGTGTGATGCTGCAGCTTGGTGTTGGTCTGCCACTCCTTGATATTTATTAAAGAGTTTATTGCAAAAGGTATAAATGGTAAAATTTGATGTAAATTCAAACCCATTTGTTTGGATATCTTTTCATTCTTCTAGAAGATATGCACAGAGGAGAAGCCATGCAGTTGTTTGAATCAGGATTTCTATACAAATTATTCATCCATTCTACAGAGAGCGTTTTATTGTGACTTAGGATATGCTGCTGGTAGAAACTTTGCTAATTAATCGGGAAAGGAGTTTGTATGTATTTGTAAAAGCCTAGTTCTGTGCTGGCTGAAATCAAATGCTTTCAGCCAGTATGATTTGCAGATGTATCCTTGCTCACAGTTGCTCCCTTGGGCTGTTTTATTGTTGTAGTTTCAGTCTGAGGCCAACTCTCAAATGCACAGTTAAATAGCCTGTGTCTCTCTGTCTTCCCTTAGAACGACTATAGGAAGCTATCTATGCAATGCAAGGACTTTGTAGTGGGGGTACTGGACCTGTGCAGAGACACTGAAGAAGTAGAAGCAATTCTGAATGGAGATGTGAACATACATCTGTGCCCTGAGCATCACCGGCCAAGTCTGAGCAGAATTAAACTGGCAATTAAGTATGAGGTCAAAAAGGTAAGCTACTTGTTTGAGTGGATACATCTTTGCATGTCAACTAGATATTCAGCTGGAAAATCAGTGAGATAAAACCTTGGTCTCACCGAAATCTTCCTTGAGTCCTAGCGCTTCATGGAATATGTTCATTGAATGGAAAACTTGATTCTGGCAAATTCTGGTCTGGGTGGTCCCAATTAATTGCTCCTACAATATGCATTGATAGAAACTGAGCTCCTGCAACAGGTTTGGAAGAGCATTCCAAATTTTCAAGCTACCATCTGCTGTCTTTCCCATTGCACACCCATCACGTGCTCCAGTTGTCCTCTTGACTGTGTTACTCTGCTGCCCAGAGAGGGTCTTTTCCTGTTATGAAAGCCATTAATTGAAGAGAATCTTAGAGCTCTTATTTGAAACGAATTGCTTTTGTGTAGGAGCACATGGTTTGGAGCCGAGTACGGTTTCCTAGTATGCTGTATATAGCATCTGAGCCCATGGTTAGTAAGGTGCCTTTCCACAAGCTGGGTCAAGTTCAGCTGGCGAAGCCGTTGCTTTGGTAACAAGGGACCAAATTTGTTCTGATGCTCTTTTAGAAAATGAACTCAACTGCAAGGTATTCAGCTCATCACCAAGGAGAAACCCCACTCATCCATAGACTGAGAGTTGTTATGAAGCTGGTCAGAACCTCGAGTTCTTTCAATGTGTGAAGTTTTCTGTGCTATTTTCCTCCCTTATTGTTCTGAACGCTTGTGTCATCTTTTAGATACCAAAACCATTACCCAGAGCTGAATTGCTGCTGGTAATTGTGCTGTTTTGAGCATGGTTGTCCTGGCTTAGACTGCTTCAAGGGAATATTTCCTCAATTTCTTATATTTTTATAATAGTTGGTTATTTTATGATGTCTGAACACTAATTTAAGGCATCTGTGATCTGCCACATACAGTTAGTTGTTTTATTTTATAAATAACTTCATATGCTTGAGAAAGTATCCTTTGTAGATCACAACTACTCCTTGCCCACAGATAATTACTGTTAATTATAGAATATAAACATGAACATTACTCATGTTGACTCAGTTTAGCACATCTCAGAGTATCCTTTTCATCAGTGTTTGTGTGTAAGGTGAGCATTTAACTGCTAGCTGGAAAGTAAGATAGCTTCATTTGTGGGAGGCAGAGATGTGTTCAGATAAATGGCTTTGGTTATTGGCAGTGGCTTGTGATAATCAGCTGGTATTTATTGCAGTGCTGAACAGAGATTGTGTTAGGGTAGTGTAGTAATGATTTCCTTAAGAGAAAATAGGCTTCAGGTACAAATTTTATATTCAGCTGAGAGACATTTAGGCTCGTGTAAATGAAACCTGTGCTCCAAAACCTATTCTCACTGTAAGAAAATTATATAATAGAAAGGGATGTGACGAAGAGCGAGTTGCCATACATATCTGATAAATTCTTGAACTGGTTCTATAAATTCCAGGTCACATTTGCAAAGTTAATGAGATGAAGAGACTACATCTGTGCCTGCTGCCCCTATTACTGAAATTCACCTACCTCTACCATTAGCATCAGCACTCAAATGGTCAGTTCTGCTTCCAGCTCCACAAGCTCTAAATGAGCCAGAGAAATTAAGATATTTAAACTTGGGGGCGACTCCTGGAATATCTTATATTTGTTCCTTCTTGTGAACAGCAGGAAGAACCTTAGACAAGGCACCGTCAAGAACATCACAACAGACTAGAGAAAAGTAAATGTTCAGTACTATAGGTTTTTTCATTAAGCTAATATCCAAACTAAATATTTGTATCCCAAGTTTTAAGAGATAAAGAAAAATGAGTTAAAGTTATCTTTACCATTAGCTTCTATATCCACACTTTCTTATTAGGACTCTAAATGTCTACCGTAGGCTTCAGTTGATGAAGCTTTGAAGGGAACAACTTATATTGCAAGTTATTTAATATCAATGGTTATATTGGACAGCTGCTGATGCAATTCCCATTTAATCCCAATTTTACCCATATGAGAGCTTTAGAGGTGCAATTAAGGTAAAGTTTGCTGTTTAAGTTATTAGTGCTAATTTTTGTCCTGTCACAGTATCTTAATTAAACAAAATCCTTAATTTGGTAGTCATGCCCCTGAATAAGTGACAGTGGCTGGAGGTATGGGCTGCACTTCCTGCACATAGAGCAACAGAGCAGTGAATTCAGTCATCAAACTCACTTTTAGCCAGATACACAGTTTTTCTCACACTTCTCTTTTTTTTAAGACCAAATCTCTGCTTGAAAAATCCCTCATTCCAATGGCAGCTTGGCCTTGAACTGGATGGGAGGCCAGAGCTGTTCACTCAACGCTCTGAAGGTACCCTGAAAGAGGGACTGAAGCCTTCTTGCTTCATCTACCCAGGAACCTGCAGCTGGTAACTTCAGCAGGTTTTGTTCTGAACGATCTTCCTCTGCACTGATGTATTGATCAGAATCCTTTTCTCTTTTTCTCCTTCCCCCTTCTTATTTACAAAACCTCAGATGAAATGGAAACTCATTCAAGTAAAAAAACACCAGAGATTTCAGACTTCAGAGCCTTATCTTTGTATTCTTCTGTATTTTTTTTCCTGAAAAAGAAGCTCTTAATACATATAAGACACTGCCAAGAAAGCAAGTTTATGTCTCCATAACACAACTGAAGTATTTTATATACAGGGGTAGTGAAGAATTAAGACATTCTGCTTCAAGGTATTTCATAGCAAAGAAAGAGCTAAAATTAGTCATTTATAAAGCATCCTCTAAGAATTGTATTACAACTCTACCTGAAAGAACTAAACTAACACTTTGTACCCAGAAATTCTTGGAAAACTGCACTCAAATACCCTCTGTTCAAGTTCACTGGGGATATCGCTCCCTTCCAATTAAATATCTTAATTTGTGATTCCTTGAAAAATTATTACAGTGATTGCTACAATAGGAACAGTTTGTAAAGAGCGAAGTAAACAGTTTTCAAATGTTTAAACATTTATAAATGCTGGGTGCTCGTCAAGAAAAGGGCTTCTAGCATATGTCATGGAATTGTTGCAAGCTTATTTTTGTTGCCTCCTGGTACAACCTTGCTGGGCTTCATGTGTGCAGCCCAGTAAAGGTCTGGATTCTTCCTGCTCCATCAAAGGGAGGAGGAAGGCAGGGTGCAGTGGAGCCCCATTGTGGCATAGCAGAGGGCTGGGCAGTCTAAACTGAAGTGCTCTTCCCAGTGAAATAAAACAACTGATCCCAATGACTGTACCAGTTTCTCTTCCGTGCTTTCTCACACGGGCTCTGTCAGAACCAGGTTACTCACCCCCAAGCTTGTTGTTCTCCAGAAGAGCTTTGATATTTTAAGAGTTCATCTGCCCTGAAGCAGTGAGCCGTTCTGTATCTCTGTAGCTGGTTAGTAGCATGCTTACAAGATATAAGGGTTAACTTCACTATCTTGGATGGGAAACTGCAAGAGTGTATTTTCTTTTAAACAATTGAAAAATCCCTATCAGACATTGGAAATATAAATATGGTACAGATTTTCCGTGTGTTTGACTTTATTTCTAATTCATCCAGGGTGTCACTTTCACTTGTGAGGTATAAGAACAGAAGCTGGGGCTGCTCTCCCTTGAATTCTTCCCTCAGACTCCAGCAGTGAGGAAATGCACTTTTTCTTGGTGTACCACAAGAAGAGCATTTGAGTAGTGTGTATCACCATTGGAGAACGCTTCCTATTTTCTGTTCTCATTTTTCTCCATGCTGCTCTACCCTTTTTTATCACCCTTTAATACTGGCAGGAGGGTTACATTTTGACACTTACCTTTAGATGGAATGCTGTTGTTCCTCTGTAAGAAGTGACATTCGTTCCCTTCTTTCTCAATGTCAAAAATCACTGCTGCTGTATTCTTTTAATTGCAAACCTCGAATGCCCCTCTCTATTTTCTCAGTTAGCAGCTCATTTCATAACTCACAAAGCCAGAGCACCGCTCTCTTTCACGAGTTTTAATTAGATTAACAGTAAGACACACAAACCGAGTTTTAAAAAAAATTAATAAGAGTTAAACAGAACACCAGATGGCTGTGTAAATCCTATTTAATGGAGAACTGGAACAGGAACTTTTTCTCATAAATGTATTATTAATAATTAACATATGGAGGATGCTCCAAACAGAATACTTGTGGCTATATTAGATTATAACTTTTTTTCCTGCATTGGTCACAGTTCTTGTTAACTGCTGCAACAACCTCAGTTTCCCATTCATTTGCTCTGAGGATGCAGTTTTGCCCTGTGCTGTGTCTTGTATGCCAGGGAACTCCCTGCCATTGCATGGGACCCCAGTGGCTCCATCCATGGAACAGGCAAAAGAATCAGCCCCTGCTGTCAAGGCTATAGGAGATCTTCCTAATGGCTCTTTGTCCCTCTTTGGAGCAGGGTGAATATTTGGAATTTCACATGGGATAAATCCTAAACTTCTCTATCCCTGTGGTCATAGAGTGCACAGATAATGGTTTAAGCAGGGCAAGGCTGTGTTCTAACATCCATATGTGAGGTCTTGAGAAGGGGAACTTCTCATGAAAAAGGTGTTCAGGAAGTTGGCTTCTTGCTTTTTGGTTTTGTTTAACTCTGGTCATTCTTTTTCAACTACTGAATTTCAGGAATAGCTCATTGAAGTCATTCACTGGTGGTTGGGGCCATAGCAGAGGCATGAGAAGTGTCTCTTATCTCCATCACCAGAGCCAGCTGAAACTGTAAAAAGGAGATTTTCTTATGTGACAATAGAAAAACCCTGGTCATTCTGGACTCTTACTTTTATCCATGTAATTTTCCCTGTATTTTTACTTGTGTTTTACAGGTTTTTTTTTTTTTAAGTGATAGGGAAGGAGTTACTTTCCTTCCTTACGGAAACAATTTTTATGTCTCTGACTATTTCATTAGCAAGGTTCCTTCCTCCCACTAAATCTGTGGCTCTGATGATATCCATTTGCCCAGATGTTTTAATTTCTTTTCCAGGATGAATCTCAT